GCAGCAAGTTCTATGTATGTACATTAGACCTGATCAAATCAGCTGGGATGAGATGCTTCCCAAGGTAGCCAGCGCCTACAACAACAGTGTGTACTTGTCTACATGTCGCACTCCCAACGAGCTGCACAAGTCCTTTAGACCGCGCAGACCGTTTGAAGGACTTAACCGGGATCAGATTTACAGGCTACCGCCCGGTACTAGGGAGTTCGTGATACAGCACGAGAAAGAACTAGCTACTGTTGTAGAGAACCTCGGGAAGGCCCATCATAGGATGATAGAGCAAGCCAACAAGCATCGTTGCTCGTCGCAGTTTCAAGTAGGCAACTTAGTCTGGGTCAAGTCAAAAGAGTTTGCTCCTGGCAGAAGTGACTGCCTGCGTATAGAGGACCGTGGCCAGTCCTAGAGGTCAAGGGCGGCGAGGATGGACCGTCCCACAGATTCCGGCGCACCTCCACACCTACCATGTATTCCATGCATTAAAGTTGTTGCCGTGTGTCACGAGTCAACAGTTTCCGTCTAGGAGATCCATGATCCCCCCAGACATGGACGAAAGATATGACATTGACGGCATTGTAGGTGAAGATGTGTTCAGAACAGGAGGTAGAGATCGTCCACAGAAACAATATAAGGTCCGATTCGCTTATCAGGAGCCCGAGGACGACCGCTGGTTTACTAGAACGGAACTTCTAAAGACAGCTCCCGACAAAGTTAGAGCCTACGAGAGAGATAAGAAAGGTAAAGGTCCTGCCTTAGACTGAGTTATTCTTGGAGGACCTCGAATTTAGGCCGGCGGGAGTGAAACGGTTTTCACCTTTGCAGAGGCAGATGCAGATCCCAGGATTCTATCCCCTGACCTTACCTTACCCATGTACAGTACCGAGTTGACCCCTGAGTGTTTGAACCCGTGACCTGTGTATTCGCAAACAGTTGGTAGGCTGTTTTAGGTCCGTAGGTTGTAGGGGATTCGATCTGTAGACCTGTCGGATAGGAGTCTTAGGGAGTTCTAGAAATCGTAACTGTAGACTTCCCGAAGGGTCAAGGTCGTAGCTGCTACAGTCCAGAAAGGTCAAGGTCATAGCTGCTACAGTATCGAAAGGCCAAGTCTACAGCCTTCCGGAAGGTCTGAGTAGTGGCCTTTCGAAGCTCCCCACGTTTAGGCTGAGGCAAGTGGGCAAGTGGTGAGGCAAATGGTGTAGTCTACCCGTGCTGAGTCAGCAGTCCCAGTCCTAGGCAGTCCTGGTCCAGTCACGCGAGTACCGCATGGGACTGTGTGCACTACGGGCATGGGAAAGGGCCAGACCAACGAGCTGCAGAAGTATAAAGCAAGAGGCAGCGCCCAGTCATTCATTCATTCCTGCGGAAGCCATGCGGAAGCGCTGCCACAGTGACTTGTGCGAGGTGGTCTGCAGAGGAGCCTGAAGTCGAAGTGGGCTGAAGGGAGTTAGCGCAGCCATAGCTGCTGTAGTTAGTGTAGTTGGCGGCCATAGCNTTAGCGCAGCCATAGCTGCTGTAGTTAGTGTAGTTGGCGGCCATAGCTGCCATAGTTAGCGATAGGTGTGTATTCGTGTGTGTTACAGAGTGTGTTCGTGGGGTATCCAGGGTGATCCAGAGTTGAAGTGTGAAGTGAGCGGTGGTGTGGGACACAGTGCCAAGAGTTGCGATGTATGGGTGCTGGTGCACCATAACCTGTTGAAGCGAGTATGCATCTGAACTGTGTTCTTGGTTTCCATATCTCTGAGCTTTGAGTTGGCCGCTATGCGCCAGAGTGAATCACCATCTGTTTGTATGCATGTGGAGTGACGAAAGTCTTGAGTCTGATTGCAGGGTAGTCCATATGAACTACCTGCAGCCTGCAGGGTGGGCCAGTCTTATATAGTGCTGGCCTGTCCAGGAGGCTGCTCTTGCCAATGCCAAAACGTGCCAGACCCTGGCGTTGAAGCTCAAACAAAGGTTGTCTTGAAAACAGGCCCGAAATGGCCTATGCTAAAACCCTGGTCTGGTGCCTAAGTTTCAGGGCAGGTCGATCTTATGAGGGCCTGAAAATGGCCCTCCRTTTCAGGCTGAAAAGACTCAGGGCCTGGAGGGCCCTGTTTTAGGCTGAAACGACACAGGGCCTGTAGGCCCTTGTTTTCAGGCTTTCAGGCTGAAACGACACAGGGCCTGTAGGCCCTTGTTTTCAGGCTTTTAGGATGAAAACGACACAGGGCCTGTAGGCCCTTGTTATCAGGCTTTTAGGCTGAAAACAACACACGGCCTGAAAATGGCCCTCGTTTCAGGCGCAGCATGTAACAAATACAGAGGATCTCAATTCAACGAGGGTTACAAACGAGTCCAAACTACGATATGGAAATAATCTACTCACCTCAGACTCTAAAAACTGCATTGCCATCACCACAAGCTTGAGCCCAGCAGTAGGATGAAGAATATAAATGACCTGCCACCCACAAATTCATAGCAACATCAGATGATCAGGAAGAACGCCATTTTTTGGTTTAAGGTACACAAGAACCTTACAACTTGAGTCAAACAACGTAAATCCTGCTGTATGAATTTGGTCCACAATTTCCCCACCAGATGGAATAGACAAAGGAGCACGAGCGATGATCATCATGGGAATACACCGCACACTGCAGAGTGTACACATTTAATAGAACACAATGACCAGTTGCTACTCCGCCCAGAAAACAAAATTGACAAAAAAAAAAAAAAAAAACATAAGTTACAGAACACATGGGTTAAAGAGTGGCGAGGTCCCACTTCTACAGATCCTTTGCTTCCGGTCATTGCATTTGGCAATGGACCGCTTGAAAAGGAGTGAGGACATACGTGGGACCTTGTGAAACGGTTAGCAGACGCAGATCCCAGGGTTCGATCCCTAGACCTTGCCCTACCTGTGTACAGTACCTGCGTAGACCCCGAGAGTTGAACCTGTGACCTGTGTATTCGTAAACAGTTGATAGGCTGTCATAGGTCCGTAGGTACCAGGGGTTCGATCTGTAGACCTGTAGGATAGAAGTCTTAGGGAAGTCTAGAAGTCCTAGCTGTAGCCTTCTAGAAGGTCAGCAAGTGGGCAAGTGGTGAGTCAAGTGGTGGACTAAACCGCAGTGCAATTGCAGTACGACGGAGGTAGGTTAGCAGTGAGTCCCCGCTCAGTCAGCGGTAAGGTCCAGTCAGTCCCAGTCCGGTCCAGCAAGTACCACAGGGGACTGTGACCACCATGGGCCGATGGAAGAGGGCAAACCAACAAGTTTCAGAAGTATAAATCAAGAGGTAGCGCCCAGCCTTTCATTCATTCCTGCGTGAGCCATGCGGAAGCGCTGCCACAGCGACTTGTGCAAGGAGGTCTGCAGTGAGCCCGGAGCAGAAGTGGGCGAGAGAGAAGGAGTGTAGCATAGCGATAGGGTTAGTGTGTAGTGAGTGTGAGTGTGTGTGTGAGTTCAGAGAGTCGTGTGTGGGATATCCAGGGTGATCTGGTGTATGTGAACAGTGAGTTGTTTGGGCGCTGAGTCGCCATAGCCAGTTGAAAGCGAACTCGTATCTGGATGTCATATCTCTGAGTTTTGAGCGGGCGCGTGTCGCCAGTTTGCTACGCTACTGTTAACATGCATGAAAAGTGTGAATGAAAGCGAGTCTGATTGCATTGGTATCGAAGCTCGTACCCGCTATTCCATGCGCGCCGTCGTGTGCAGGGCCTGATGCGCCATAGCAGAGGTGGCCGCCGAGAGTTGTAGTCCGCCATAGCGGAACCGAAGGTTGGAGAAGCCGCCGCGCACCTGCAGAGA